CATATAAATGAATGTTGCTATAATGACTATAACATTAAGGATATAGTATGTTTTACTCATAGTGAAATGTGTACATTGACATTCTCTGTCAGCAACAGGAAATACCAGAAACATAATCAACTGGTTACAGATGATATATGATGCCTGACAGGGAGGTGAAACAGATGAGCTCCTCTCTTCCAGTCTCTTGTTTCTCTCCTTTTAGTGGTCTACAAAGACAAAAGTTTCATGATGAATTTAAACACTCAGTTCCTCTGTAGGGCATTAAAGTCATTGTGAGAGTATGTTCTGTTTACCTCATTTTACTTTGCCATTTCGACTCTGTACATCAGGTCCTGGACCCAGCTTTCTTGTGGATTGGCACAGACAGTCCGCTGTTTTTTATGTGAAGGCTTCTTCTTCATCAAAAACCTACACATATGAGTATTATTACTTAATGTTATCACACTTACTGCACTGGAGTAAGGAATGTAAAGGAGCTTAATAAGTAATCAAAGAAACCAGTGCACACATTTACAAGTGCTGCTCTAAGCTTGGATCAGTCACTTTCTTTTTCCATTAGTCATTGCCAATTTATTTACACAGGGAAGTTTAAACAATGTAGGACATCAAAATGCAGTAAAGACATAATATTTGTTACTTACACAACAGCTCTGATGTTGCAATCACCATCTGTTTCCTGCATCCTGTAACTTTGAATGTTTCGCTTCACATTTTCTTTCATTCCTCGAACGTAGCCGAGGCAGCAGTTGCCATAAGAGCCTGGAGAGAGGGATAGAATTACAGAGGGTCAGAACATAAATACTGCCCCCCCTGAAAATCTCTTCCCTGGGGAGAAATTAAACAGTGAGAGTCCAGAAGGAAAACAATACAGCTCCGTTTTAACACTGGGGACTGACTCTTCATTGTGCTTTTTGTATGTGTAGGTCTGTGTTTATTGGCATGCCTATAAAACTAAACTAAAGCTTATGAATAAACAGTGCCAAAGCAAGAAATCATGGGTCTCACAAATTACTTTAATCACATGTCACAAAATCGGTATTTTTTAATTAAAGAAAACCACAAAAAGCAGGAGTGATTTCTATGATTTGAAATAACTGGAGCTAAACCAACAGCATGTGGTAATTCTCATTTTCCAATTCCACTGGATTGAGTGCTCAACATTAACAAATATTGTAATTTATTTTGCTCTTTTCTTACTCTTTGAATTGATACACACACACACACACACACACACACACACACACACACACACACACACACACACACACTGAAACACACAAATATCCTGACTGCATCTTATTTTCACCATCACTGCCTCCATTAGAGTTACTCATGTCCTTTTAACTTTTGCGTAGGTGTTTACTTACTTGAAATTGGGTTATAGAGTTTGTAATGTGTCATCTGTCATCTGGGGTAACAGAACATATTTCTGTAACATACCCTAATTGGCTTTTGTGACATCAACATACAGTATTACTACTATTTTATCTTTTTTTTTACCTTTACTTTTCTTTTCGAAATTGCCAAGAATTATGTTTTTCATGCTGAGCCTTGAACAGAATGGTTAATCATCTCTAAACTTCTTGCAACAAATAGGACGAATCCTCACACTGCATGTGACCTCCTTACCTCCAATGCTCCTAGTTAAGTTACCTCAGCTTTTTAAAGACCCCAAATTGTTTGGGGCTAGGCTTAAGACCTGAATGTTTGGTTGTAATGACGCTGCTGAAAAGCTACTGAGCTATAAGATGCAGTGATGACCCAAAAACTACAAGTCAGCTTTAGGAATTTTGTACGCACAGCAGCTTGGACTATCCTTATTGCTCAAATTCAATTGATATATCATCTGATATCAGCATTATAGTGGTGGGGTATTGATGTATCAATAAAAAAGAAGAAGAAGTTTTTGCTCCAATGTCAACAACCCGAAATGTCCTGTTTATGAAAACTTAACTTAATTAAACCTGTCACAAAATTACCACAACAAAGTGGTCTATAATAGCGAGCCTAGACAGATTACACTTTGGTATCAAGTGATGTGGTAAATGGCTTTGAGCAGAACAATTCACTGATTAAAAGGGAGGATTTAGGAAAGTGGAGGAATGTGGATTGTGAAATACAGCTGCAGCCATAATTTCACCAGAGTTGTTCAAAGCAAGACTCCACATATTCTCCACAGTCAGTTCAGTTCCACCAAAACTTAGTTCATATAGATTTTTTGGTTTTAGCTCATTATTTAAAATGCTCAAACAGTACCTATACTATTTTGAGCTGCAATAAGAAATGCACCGTTAAATCTAAATGTGCAATCCAATCACAATTTGCAATATGACAGTTCTGAGGTCAGTCAAATCTGTTCTGTTTCACTCACCTTGTGCGAGACTCAGGCACATGCAGCTGAAAAGCAAAATGAAGAAAATAGCTTGGAACTTCATGACTGTTGCTGCTGTTGCTGCTGCTGCTGTTCTTGTTGTGTGGCTCGCTGCACAGAAACAAACAGATACAATCAAACAGGAGAGAAAAAATTTAAAATTGGAAGCAGTCTCACCCCTCTGCCTTGTAAATTTTGGCTGTTGATGTAATATTTTCCATCACAAATCCCTTCATCTGTGGTCTTGTGAAAGAAAAAGGTCATGTCTTTGACCGTTGATTAAACATTTTTAAATCCATGTCTGGTTTCCAGCTGTGTGCAGCTGTTTCATCTCTGAGTTATAAGTGTTGTTTTACAGAAATCAACTGGGTTTGTGGTAAATTATGGCTGTATTCCCCATCTGACACCTAATAAAATGCAATTCTTGCAAAACCAGGATTACAAAAGCACCAAGAGGGGATTGTGTCTATAAGCATGCAGAGTAACGTACCTGCTCACATTCAGTATTTCACAAGATGTCCTGGGAGAAAAGCCTTTTGTCCAGCTTGTGGTCTGTAGTCTTTATATGCACACATGAAATCTGCCCTCCCCCGACATTACTGCTCCTCCTCTGACATGTCAACACTCAGTTTTACAACCGCTCAGTTGAAGTGCAATTTGATCACTGAAGGTTTTGACTTGGCTCAAACTCACACACACACACACACAAAGACACACACACACACACACACACACACACACACACACACATATATATATGTATATATATATATATATTTACAATAGCTCCCTTGGAGATAATATATTTGCCAGATGTACCGTATAACCCAAAATATGAAAAACAAGAAAACCTGCTTATAAACACAGAGTGCATGAAAGGAAACATATTAAATTGGGTTTTTCATTGCTTTGATCTCACATTCAGAGTATTATGGATATGCACTGTAGAGTATGGACATGGTCTTGTCCCACTGAGGGACATGAGAATAATCTTCTAACTCAAACAACTGGAAATGAAGTTAAATAATAATGCAATACTTTAATGATATAATGTCTATCACATTTCCTCAGTTCTATCAAATTCTTCACTCAAGGGTAGACCTGATTTGAAAGTAAAGCTTTCCAGATTTATGACATTCTTCCAAAGTTGGTTCACTGTTGTTTATTACTGTAAGAATCATTTGCATCTAATGAACAGGAACAGTGCAGGATTGCTTATCTCTCTACAGCTGCAACCATTTTGTAGCCCTGTCCGGTTTCAAATCTTATCCCGAACACTGAATCTAACATGATGTGCCCCTTTGCACCGTTAGCCATATATCTAGAGGTAATTACAGGTCACTCATTATCCTGCACCACGGTAACCAAAGTCAAACTTGCATATTTATTTTACTGTGCTGCTAATTGGGTGTGATGGACATTCAAGATAAGGTACAAAAATAAACATACAGAGCGGGTAAAGAGGTCTATATAGTGTATGTGTATGATGAATTATGAACTGTTTCAGATTCAGTTCAAATTCATTTTAAATTACGTAACACCATATTTGGGGGATGGTGTGCAAATGTGTGTGCAAGCGTGTAGCCTAAGTGTATTTGTGTTAGTGGTTAAACTAGCAAGGGGGGGGGGATACTTTAACCAGCCAAGACTGACGGGAAATGTTAGAAGAGCCACTTAGGGGAATATACTTGAGAAAAAACATAATATCCAACTCTTCAAAAAGTTTACTGATGGGTGCCTTTTGCATTGTGATATCCAAACACAGCCTACATGTGTTAGAGGTAACCCCTTCAGTGCTTTGGTTCTGGTTGTTATGATAGTGCTTTTGCTGCTGCATTGTGGGTCCCTTGGGTCCCCGAAGAGTTTGTATAATTTTTGTTTGAACTGTTGATCCATATTTTCTGCATTTTCTGTAAATTTGATTTGCTTTTATCTTTGTAACTTTATGCCATTGTTCTTCTGTTTTTAATGCACTGTTAGTGGATGAGTTATGGCACTTTGACACCAGCTTACTCCCACCCTTAGATTCATTATCCAATTTATCTGAAATCCTCAACCAATTATCAAATGACAGTTGTACACTAGTTCTATGTTGTCTGTTCTTTGTCATTTGTTCTTAATGTTTGCTCATGTTGACTCTGATGAAGTCATAATGTCGAAACGTTAGTTAGTTTGCACCATTAAAGACTTTTTTTCCCCCTTGGTCATTTATTTTCAAGAAAAAGTGAAGGTTTGATAGGTAACTCCCTATTGTACAATGATGGAAGACGTATTTAAATCATTAACTTTAGTTGAACTGTACTTAAGTAAAGTATTATCAGCGAGTACTGCAGTGAAATGGTCCTTGTCAGTGTTTTACTGTTATATATGATGTGTTTGGATTCATATTATTGCTGCATTAATGTTGCATGTTACAGCTGTAGATGTTTCAATGGGAACTAATTTTAACTACTGTATATCCTGTTGGGTAGTTTAATCTACAGCAGTGTGTCATTTTTTTATAAAATCATCATATTTTTGTAGTCCTGTGAGAACTGCACATCTTTAAAAAATCAACTTTTCATGAGCTCAGAAAAACAGCCCTGTTTTAGGCTTTGTGTCAAAGCGTTTTCCAGCTAATCCAAGAGGGTTTTAAATAGTTTATTTAACTTAAGAAGTAAGAGAACTCATAAAGGTACACTTAATCCTGCTGTTTATCAGAAAGAAATCACATTCAAAATCAGTCACATGTGGAATATCATATCAGTAGCATAAAATGGAAATACTCAAATCAACTTTGTACTACAGTAGTTGAGTAAATGTACTTAGTTACATTCCCACCACTACTCATGATTAACTCATTCCTCCAAAGATTTGATTGCTTCCAAATGTCATGATTCACCTCAATACCGAGAAGTGATGAAATTACTCTTCATATGTGGGTCTACAAAATACCAAATTTATTGCAGGTCTATTTCTAAGATTCTTAAGGATTGCACGGATATTTGATTTTCTACATTAGACCCATGATGTGATTATTAGCCAATCAAATATTCTGCTGTAACAACCTCCACCCTTCTGGGAAGGCTTTCCACTATAGTTTGGAACCTGGCTGCAGGGATTTCCTGCCATTCAGACACAAGAGTGTAAGTCTGGTCCAACGCTGATGCTGGCCAATGGCTCGCAGTCGGCGTTCCAGTTCATCCCAGAGGTCCTGACCTGGCTTTGTACACGGGGAAACTACCGTGCTGAAGCAGGAAAGGGTCATTTGTAAACTGTTAAAAGAAAAGAATGGAAAAAGTACCCACACACTCCTATCTGGTTTGACAACATCACACATCATCTGTGGATGAGTTAGTTGATGATCTACACACAAAGGTCATTAAAATGCATACACAGATACAAAAATATAATCTTAAAATGCTTTGCTATATGTGTAAATTCAAACACATTTGAGTTGACACATGAATCAAAAGCAAACATGCAAAACACACGTAGTGATTCCTGTTTTACAGGTGTGCTCAACTGTTCCTAAAGAAGTCAAATTTGTAGCCAAAATATTTTCAATTGTGTCCAAGGAAAATCCAGAAACACCATAAAAACAGAAAATGGGAAAGCAATTTGCGTGTGCTACCTCACACCCGCAAAGACTTTATAGATGTGTGTGTGCCTCTTGATGACGGTCACTAAAATATAGTTATATATATACAGTATATAGTTGTGTGCTGTAACATTAAGATTCCCTAAATTGGGACAAGGGAGTTTAGCCTAAAACATGAAAATCAGCCCCAGGATGAATGAGTACACAAAGGTATGTTAGACAGGGATGTCCACAGGTGGTAGATGAACTATAGAGATCCTTTACATAAGTAAAAGTACCAGTATCACAGCCTAACAATACTCCAAGTACAAATAAAAGTACAGAGGAATGAGTAGTACCTCAACACCAAATATGTAAATAATAGCAAGAGAAAAGAAATATAAGAAGTTTAAATGCAAGTGTATTCAATTCAGAGCAGTGTAACTTTTACAAAGAAAACCAAGAGATTTTAATCATCAAACACATGTCCCCTGCTGTGTATTTTAAAAGAAAAAAATGATGTATTTTAAAATGATAATCCTTTTTAATAATCCCCATTTTTATTAAATGTAACAGTAATCTGTAATCTCACTTTCTTTATATCCTGATTACATATAATCCGTTACTCCCCCAGCCCATGGACATGATTGAGAGAATAATTAGAAACACTCACAGCACCATCTAGTGGTCGGAGCTGGGACTACCACCCGATACAACCATCCGCTCCACTGATCCAGTGTCGGTGTGTGATGGATGCAGCAGCCGCGTTCTCCACATTAATCCCGGCCAGGTTTTACAGGACAGTCACCGACAACCTCCGTGTGGGCGTGACCGACCGGCTTGCCTCCATAACAGCCACTAAGCAACCACCAAGCCAGCAGGTCAGTCAAACACTGACTGCAAGTCATCCTGACTAAGCTAATTTAAACATCAGCGTTTAACCGTTGCAGGCGCTGTCGGTTACCCGGCAGTTAGCCAACGGTCACAGTAACGGTCGGTGAAGCTTTGACTAGCAACTTGTTAGCAACGCTAGCGACGAAAAACAAAAACAAATAAAAAAAAACCCCACACATGGATCCTCAAAACAGCAACACGAAGACTGAGGCGAAGAGGTTGTTGAACCACGCTAAGACTCTCAGGCTCCACACCGGGAATTTAGTGAACCGAAGCCGTCTGAAGAAGAAATGTCCGGGCTCCCCCAGTGAAGAGGTGATCGTAGTTTGTCGGTTGCTGTGTGACAGTGTAGCTCATTAGCTTAGCCTCTAAGTTAGGCTACCTGGCTAAATGTTTAACTAGCTAGCTAACGACACTAGTGTTTGTTCACTGACAGGAAGGAGTATATGTAAGGGTATCTGAGCAGTCCATAAGAGAAATAATAATATATATATATATTAAAGTATTAATGAATATGCCTGTAGTTAGAGGACTTAATCTGAGCTAATGTGGTGCTTTAGCAGTGTGTGTTGTTTATGTGGTGAGGGTGTGCAGTGTGACTGGCTTTATGATCCAGCCTGAGGCGAACAGAAAACACCTGTAAGTGTAAACCAGGAAAGATGATCTAACGTTAAAGTTACATCACCTGCAGGCAGGTGCTCCTATAAAACAGCTAGTTTTCAAAATGTACTCAGAAACTTTATCTTTTTATTAGTGCTTCAACTAAATGTTGTTTTTCACATTGATTAAAGCTGCAGTAGGTAAGTTTTATTAAAATGTATTACATGAGATTAAACTCGTTTGACTTATTAGGCATTATTATTCTATAAAAAGTCAGAAAATGGTCGGCCATAATATCCCAGAGGCTAAGTTGTCTTCAAATAGCTTGTAAATTACAATGAGTATTCAGTTTATAATGATATAACAGGGAAAAGCAGCAACCCCTCATATTTAAACTTATATAACTAGGGACTGTTTGGCATTCTGCTTAATAAATGACAATTAATTGATGATCAGAATAGATGATGATTATTTTTCTATTGAGTGACTAATCCATTAATCAACTACTTGTTTTGGCACTGCATAGATGTTCACTGTAGTTACATAACGGCATGGTGGCCTGAAACATCCTGAAAGGGTTTGGTCAGACTCTTTCATGATCAGACACTACGCTACTCATTGTTTTAAGGTATGAAACATCACGTGCAGTTTTCCTCTGAAGCGTGACTGGAATTTGGGTGCAGTCCCATGTGTTGTGCCGGCCCATACCTTAGACCGAAGTTAGTGATATAACTTGTGATTGTTGTAATGAAGAGCAAAGGTCGCCACAGTTTGATCTCCAATATAACATTCAGATAGAGGATACAGAAAATATGACGTGAACTTGACTGAGGTATCAGAGGGATGTAATGAGACACTCAACTCACGATACATATATACATATTATGTGATTTCTTTTACAAAATGAGATTGAAGACAAATTATGACTTTTATATATAAACGTCTTTATTTAGCGATTTAGAACAAAATCCACAAATTATATTTTCTCTTGTATTTTCTCATTTATAGCAGATAATCATTTTGAATTCTGACGTAGGTTATAAACTGTGCAACACAATGCATGTTTCCTTTTCTTTGTAAAAGTGAAACTGAAAATATAACCTTGTGAACTACAGAAAAAGCCTTAAATCTCCTTCCATCTTTACGCAACTGCAGCTGGCCAGCCCGTGCTTATCCATTTGTAAATACTTCAATTTTAAAATGAGACATCCGTCAGCAGTTAAACTTGACCTGTCTCCTCCTTTAGTCCCACGCTCCAAGCCGGTTTTGAAGTTTGTCCAACTGATTTCATTGTTTATAACGCACTGCGACCCTGACTTGGTAGAGCAGCATATCACAGCTGTCCAGATGTTGACGTGTGTCCGCTGAGAATAAAAAGCTGTTCATTCTCAGCCAAGTTTCTTAATTTAATATTATGTTCTTCTGTTTGATATTTCAGCTTCAAGACTGCATTCAAGCCACACTGAGTGACTGGTTTTCTGCTATAAAACCACAATCCGAGGTGGGGACACGTTTACAGTTTTCTGTTTATTGTTTTCATGTAGTATGTAGAGAGTATAGTAGGTCATATAGTTCAGGCTCTCCTGTACCCGTTTTGCATGTTTGTTTTTTTTATCCGCACTGACAAATGAACAACAATAGTATTTGCATTTACAGGTCAGACCTGCACTGTGTGAATGAGTTGCACAATAATGTGCTCCTACATAGTCAGGCAGTAGGGTTCCAGTGCTTGGGAAAATAAAATAGCTGTAGTGATGGACATCAAAGGATGCCTCCAGGCTCACTGAAAAGAAGCTGTCATGATGAATGTTCATGCAGTGCTGGCTGCCAAAGGCGCCATTCCAAATGTGTGTCTGTCTGTTGGGATGCGGAGGGGGATTGGTGGGGGTGGATGCACGTTAAAATTTGCCCTACAGGTTTTGTTCATTAACTGTGACAGGATTTCAAGAAAGTAGTATTGAGCAATCTGTTTTCATCAAACTGACATGTTCCCGAAAAGACTGAAATTGAGATTTCAAAGGCTGCAGGATCCAACGTAGTGAACCACCATTCCTGCTGAACACACTCTTGCTCTGGCTGTTTTGCTAGGCTCAGCTAATCTGCCTCAGCTTTTATCACCACGCCCACTGGACTCAAATGGGGATGAGGGAAGTTTGAATGAGTTGAACTAAGGGGTCTTAGATACTTGCAAATACCAGAGCTCGTTAGACACATCCCCTGCAGGGAAATATCAAGAATGGGATGCTTAAGTGATGGTTTCTCTTCTGAGGTTGCGTTTGGCCTATATCTGCTGGCGGAATCACACAGAAGTTACGTTGTGTAACCTGTACATGTTGTAAAGCTTGACCGTTTACATTGTGTTATGCTAAACATCTTTCAGACATGGACTTTGTTACGCAAGTGTGTTTATATAGGTCTCATGTCTGACTAAGTGCACACTTTTACGTAAAAAACAATGTTTGTTGTTCTTTATTTGCCCTTTTGTGCCAGTGAGACAAATAAATCTACAATAAACCTATAACTAATAAGCAATAAACATTTCTGCCATTAGTTTCACACTATTCCACTGATAAAGATATGAGGCAGCGAAGAAGAAAACCGCTAGCGAGTAAAGAAGGTGTAAAGAATGGTGATTCAAACTTTTTAAGAACAAACGAGTGCAAATGTGTTATGAGGAAAGAAATGCCTTCATCATTGTTAGACCTCATGGGTACAAACAATCCTTTTTGGTAAGTAGCACTGAATGTAAAGTTGTTTGCTTACAAGAAAACCTCACAGCCTTTTAACCTTTTAATTATTGCTTCCAATCCATCGGTCCACCAGTGACGCCGCTTGTAAGGAAAACACTCTACTCCCTTCATATCATAACTTTTTAACTCTGAGCCATCGAATCCTTGTGTGCATCAGATGCCAAACATAATGCAAGCATTGTGGCCGTCTCTGTAAGGGTCCTGTCAGTTATGTCTATCTTAACTGATGATTTCTGAAAACAAGTTGTTACACAGTCTCTAAATAAAGTACTTTTCTTACCCTGTAGGACTTCCCAGATACATTGGACTGCTCCATTCCCCAGGAAACAGACGCTATCACACCTGAAGAGAGGGAGGAGCTGAAGGTTTCAGGTCAGTACTGGTTTTATAGTCTGCAAGAAGAACATTGAATCTGTTAAGTAACACTTTCATTACATTAGTCTTTAACTGTTCTGGTTATTGTGAGGTTTAAGCAGTAATCTTATTGAACTTTTTCTCCACATTGGGTTTTTACCTTAAATGTACTACAAGGAGTTTTTAACTGGTTATGAAACAATCAAAAAGTCTTGAAAAGGTTCAACTATTCCACCTGCTGTTTAAATTTGTACCAGCGTTGGGTAGTAATAGCAAAGGGTTATTTGTCATCAATGTAGATCTGCTGTTACCACAAGCCTGACCAGCTCTGGGAGACTGATGCGCTGCAGCATGGCGCTTCCTGTCTGTGCTAGGGGTGGTTGTAGTGCGTACCACTGCACCACGGCTGTGTGTTTTAGCCTTTAGTGTCAGTGGAATGTGACTGATGACCTGCAGCACGTCTGTCCTGCAAAGATTGCTTCCAGATAACTTTTCTCTTGTGTGCAGTGCAATCTATTTTTTTTTTTGGGACATTTAGCAAGGGTTAAAAAAGCATGCTAGCACACATATCCTCAAAATATGTCAGTTTCCATTTAAGAAGAAAAAAGAAAGAAGAGGAAAATCCCTGATTCGATGGCCGACCCATTGATCAGAGCGTTCCTAATAATGACTGGCTGAATCAGAAATAAATTAATAAATTGTTTAACAAGTAACACATAGTAATACATGTGTAATAAATAGTACCAATGACCCACCAGATGCTACAAACAACATCAGTATGTGAGGGACGACATGTTTATGGTTGTTGTTGTTGTTTTCGCAGTCAAGCTGTTCCTGTGTGAGTCGGTTCTGTCCTCTATCAGAGATGCAGTCGAGATGGGTGAGCTTTAAATCTCCTCAGCAACAGTTTCATTTGCCTTAAAAATGACACGCAATTGATGTGAACCTTTTTTAAAAAAACATTTAAAATCAATTCTCTCATCCCTAGCCTGCCAGACTCTGGCAGTGTCCCAGCTCGACTCTGTTATCATAGCGCCACCTGAGCCCCTGCAGGGCGACAGCCAAACATTGGCTCACCTTCAGCCAGCCTGGGAGGAGCTGGAGGCTCTGGTCAGGAGCCAGCGGATTGCCGCCATTGGTACCTCTGACCTGGACAAAGATCTACTGGAACAGCTCTACAACTGGGCTCAGGTGAGTGGGAATCAGGGTTGAAGGAATTTTATTTTGAAACTTTACAGTCGATAGCTTGACAGACCTGTGTGCCGTTTCCTCTGTTGAAACAAATAAAGCCGGTCACTGAGCACGTACCCTCTCTTGTACCAGGTGAAGCCCAGCAGTAACCAGGTCAACCTGGCCTCCTGCTGTGTGATGCCTCCTGACCTGACAGCCTTCGCTAAGGAGTTTGACATCCAGCTGCTCACACACAACGATCCCAAAGGTGAAATTCAGCTTATTTTCTGTCATTTGGGTGGATTTATAAACAGAGTGCAGGTGTTCTAAATCAATTGTTGTCAGTGCTTAGTCGAGCATAAAAGGATAAGTCTTGTGATATTACTTTTTCTGATTCTCAGCAAAAGCCATAAAGACCAAAACCAGCTATGAATTGATCCACTAACACATTTTGTCTCTGCAGAAACAGACTGATATATGATATTCCTCTGTGTCATAGACCTCCATTGTTGTCCGAAAACCCCCCAAAACACTTAATTGCTCTGAGTGACTTCATTATCATGAGCACTCTAGTTTGTTTTGTATTTATGCAGCTGAAAATAGTCCCCAAGAAATAGGCTGTTGTAGTTCAAACTCAAAAGTAAATTGCCCATGTGTTTTAGGGAATTTAATAAAATAAAACTATATAATTTCTTAAAGATTTATGTCCTAAGGTGATAGCAATAGTAGGGACAGTAGAGACCGTAGGACCGTAGATTGAGAGATAAACTTTTCATGGTATTTACTGACAATAAGAAAATAATAGACGAATAACAGCCTTATTCTTTAAGCCTTTTCCTTATAAACCAATTAACAAATTGCAGTTACAGTCAACTGCATCAGTAGCAGTGAATTTGTTATGTGCTTTTCACAATGTAAGCTGCTCCGTTCACTCAGGTCCTCTCTCGGCCTCGTGTTTCCATTCACAGAGCTGATGTCAGCAGCCACATTCCAGGAGGCGGTGCAGGAGGGAACACAGGACCTCAACATCGCTGACTGGAGGCTGGAGTGGGTCCTGCGCTACTCCATTATTGTCAAGAGCAGGGGCATCATCAAGGCTAAGGGTTACCTTGTCAGTGCGAGGAAGGCGAGCCCCTAGCACACTCCACTAGTGAAGAAGACACATGGATGAAGCCATTTTCTTCCTTTTTCAGTCTCACACACACACACACACACACACAGATACACACAGATACACACAACATGCAAAGTAACCGCTCTGAATAATGGACACTGCCAATCACCATGAGTCTTGAAGTTATTGTTTTTATCTTACAGATAAGGTTGCATCTTGATCATCTATGATTTCATCAGTGTAACAGATGCAGGTATTTATTTCCATCGTCTCAGTGAGAACAAAAAATGGGAGATGAACGTGCGAGATCAACTCCAGTGTCAGTTTTGGAGAGAACATACGGTGGAAGTGAGCTGTACATTGACAGATCAGCCGTTAATCGACGCAGTAGAGGCTGTTTTTTAATGATGGAAAATTTCACTTACTAAGCTTTGATCCAAGGTGAAGGTTCCTAAACCCTTGTTTGGACTTGAAGTGCCTCTCATCTCTTTGCTCCTCCTATCCTCATTCCTGCTTAATCTCCACTGTGTCCGTGTGAATAGAGCTTTAACTATCAGTCTGAATTAAGTAGGTGAAGCAAAAGAAAAAGGTAGAAAATTATTGTTTTTTTATTTTGTTTTTTTTTTTTATGATTCCAAACATTTTGAAAGTGTAAATGGGGAAAAAAATTGTAATCATGCAATTAGATTTTTCCTGCTGTACATAACACCATTTGCATTCCTCAATTGAGTAAAACGATGCACTAATTCAAATTCAACCACATGTGAGATGTTTATTTTATGATGCTGATTGAATTAGACATTAACTGGTAAAGCAGACGACTTATGTGAGTATTACATAACATTATGTTATCATGCATTTTTTTCTAACCATGCGCTGTGTTTGACAACTCATTGAAATGTTTGCCCACCTTATGCTCATGAGATTAGTTTGAGGGTTGAAAGTACAGCATTTTGAGATGTTTTGACATGCATAGCAGGCTTCGGTCATCTATATGCATTGTTGTTGTAGCACTGGAAGCTCCATGCCAATGAGAAAATGTGTTAATTCTGAGGGAGAAGGTTGTAATTTCAGAATCGTGGCTGTTTGAGCAGATAATCTCACAAAGACAAGTTATCTGTTGTACTGTAAACATATTTAATGTTGTCATATATCTGTATATCATGAATTGGCTTTATTAAAATTATGAAACAGATGTTGGTGTGACTGTCACTGGGGTGAAATATTAAAAAGATGGGATAAACTTTGGTGAGCTCAATTAATGTGCAGCTCCAGCTCTGTTGAACCGTTACACACTCAAGCTTTTGAACCAGGTACACTGAGTTTATCTGAGTTAAACTGGAAAAGCAAACGCGGGTAAATAACCCGCAGAATAGAATATGATGTATTGATGTGGATGAAACTACACACAGTACACAAGTAGTGAAAGTCCAGTGTGTAGACTTTGGTGGCATCTAGCGGTGAAGTTGCAGATTGCTTCTGTATCTGATGATTTGGGAATGAGAACTGGATCTGGAGTGTGTAGGAGAAACAACGCAATACGCAGAAGGCCCTATATACAACCAGTGTGTGGTTTGTCCTTTCTCGGCTACTGTAGAAACAAGGCAGACTCCATGGGCGGAGACAATCCCTATATCCAGGTGATTATAAATGAATGAAAACAAACCTGAATGTTATATTCCATTTCTGCCAGTAGATCCTTCTAAATGTTACACACTGGACTTTTAAGTAAAGGATCTGAATACTTGCCTCTAAATAAATGTTAAATGTGTTTTTTTAAATCACAGATGTGTTGTAGTTATACTTTAAATCTGAGTCACATAATACAACAATTTAAATTTAAACCAGAGTTTGGAACTAGTGCTCCACTGTCTGCAGCTGGTTCCCTTTTAGTGTTTACTTTCCTTTACCTTTTTACATTGAGGACTTTTACTTTTTGCTATTAATTTATGCTTTTATTTTGGTAACAATTTCTTACTATTACTTGTAATATTGTATTTTTACTGTGTGCTTTTACTACTTTTCCTCAGGACCCCAACACTTCTGCCACCACTGAAATAAATATAATAAATATAAATAAATTGGGAGGAAAAAAAAAACCCCACAGCTCTGCGATCGTCTGCTCGGCCTACATCTTATTAACATCTATCGATTAGTCGAGCCTTCACACCGGAAGCGACAGATAGGAGCACAGCAGGCAAGATGGTGGCCACCAGGAGAGGAGTACGCGTGTACTCCCCAAGTAAAACAAACCCAGAGCAGCCCTCTGATGTCCAGGTAGGTGTGGAGGAGAGTTGTTCTTTAAACCTGTAAATGTCCAGAGGTCAGATAAAGGAGCGATCCGAGGGGAACAGACACCGTCACGTGTCTGATAAGCGGCGTGTGCTGCTGCTCAAACTTCACGTGGACACCACCGGTCCTTTCACAGTTTGTAAACGTGTCGATGTTGTGACACGAGCAGGACAGGAAAACAGTAAAATAGTAAAATATTTATTATGTAGTCCCATAAACACAGTGCTTAACAAACAATCAATAGTTAGTTCTTATTGTCAACAACTGCTGTGGAAAAAACAAAACAAACAATGAATTGCTCCTACTAACTCATTGTGACAAGAGCCTGATGCATTATAGTCTGGGTGACACTAACTGTATTTTATTTCAATCCCACATTCAGTAGATTAACAAATGTGTAACAATCCGCTGCTGAAAATAGTCCCCAACACAGTTAATACTCAGGCCTGTTTAAGTAACGTTTGAAAATAATAAAGCCATGTATTTGTAACCTATTTTTAAATGTATTATTTATGTCTTCAGTAGAAATGAAGAGTGCCACAGATGGGGGGGGCAATACCTGAATAAAGGGATACATTAGTGCTTTTGGTCTTTTCATTGGAGTTTATTGTATTATTAACTCTTATTTCTGTTACACAGGCCACTCCCTCTACTAGTCGAAGAACCAGGAGCACTGCTAAACAAGCCGAGAGCCCTACCCAGCATGCCCTGGTGGAGACCAGCAGTCAGCTTGAAAAAAGTGAGGCAGGACATGGGACGTCTCCACCTGCGTCCTCAGTGAAAAGATGTACCAGAGCAGCCAGACTCCACAGTCCAGAGCAGCCATGCACACCCGTGGGCTCAACCCACGAAGCGGACATATCAGACGTAGATTCCTCCTGCTCTCTGGTGTCCGACATCGAACTACCAATGACGCGAACAGGGGGGAGGAGGAGACAGCCCCGCACAGTAAGTCAGGAAGATGAAGAGATATCTGAGGTGGAGTCGTGCTCTTCTGCAGTATCTGCATCGAAAGCTGGCCTGCGTAGCCGCCGGAGCACAAGGAGTAAGGCGGCTCCTGAAAGCTCTGATCCTACTCGTGTTGAGGTGGGAAACGTCAAGGTCGACTGGGCGCTGGAGGTCGAGTCCTGCAGCTCTGCGGTGTCCGAATCCCAGAGAGTCACCAGAAGTCAGAGAAAAACTACTCGCACCAGATCATCTGCCAAACAACAAACTGAGGACTCTGAGCTCTCAGACGCTGACAGCTACATGTCCAGCGTCTCAGGAGCTGAAGTTTTGAAGTCCACCACCCGCAGATCTACGAGATCCAGAAGGCAAACAGGTCCCATCCCCATCCACTTAGACGAAGCCTCGGAAAGTTCTCTCTCCCCTGGGCCAACAGCTCGAAGGAGCCGGGCAGCAAGAGGGAAGACAGCAGCCACTGTAGATGTCAGTGAGCCACAGTCTTGTGACTCTGAAGGGTTTGAGTCCGGACCAACTTACAGCATGAGGACTCGTAGACGAGGAAAGGCCAAAGCCCTAGACTCGGACTCTGACCTGACCGATGTGCATTCCCCGATGGGCAGCCCCTGCTCCGCACGCAGCAGAGGGACTCCCTGCAGCAGCCGCACCGGCTCGGGGAACAGCAGCCGAGGTGCTCCGGCCTCCCGGCGCTCAGTCAAGGATCTTAGCGTTGTTCTAGAAAAAGCCGCGGATCCAGCTGAGGAGGACACATCATTGAATTGTTCTAAGTTAGAGAGTACAGTGATCGCTGAGGATGCAGACTGCACGCTGCTGGAGGAAGACGAGAGCCAAACATTGGAAGAAAAAGAGAAAGACGGTGTGAATAGTACTGATCTCACATCAGATGAGCCTACTACAGTAAAAGTGGAAAAGGGAGTAATTATCATTTCAGAAGAAGACTCTCCACCACTATCAGACAGCCCTGGTTGTTCTGAGGAAGCTGTTAGTAAACCTGCAGTGACTGTCAGTCACCAGCAGGAGGAGCTGTGTGATGAAAATAAGGACGGGGATGCCTCAGAGATGGAAATGATGCAGGAAATAGTCCAGTCATCAGAGCCGTTAAAGCCTTGCCAATCAGTTACAGTAACAATATGTGAGAGGACTTTTGAAACTGCAGACGAGGCTGAAGAGAAGGACCAAGCTACGAAAGCAGCTGATGTGGACGCCCCCCCACCACAGGGAGATGAGGCAGTGGATGAGGCTGCTGCTGTGGAAACCAGGCCTAGCGAGGAGGAGAAAATGGAAGTGAGCACACTGGTTGAATCCAGTGAGGTCCACGTTGAGTCCGTTCAGGTAACATCCAGGCAGCAGCACAACATCACGGTGGATTCTGTCCCTGATCAGCAACCCAAAGACATAATTATCCAGAATAAGAAAATAATCGGCCTCCTGGAGAGCAGTGAGGATGAAGACGACGAAGAGGAGGAGGAGAGTGATGTTTCTGAAGAGGAGGGTGAGGAGGATTTGGGGCACGGGTCACTGGAAAGAGGAGAGCCTTCCGATAGGTCTCGAGCAGCAGGGACATCAGTTGATGGACTATTTATGATCGACACACGGCCTGGACAGGAGGCCGACAAACACTACTACAAGGAGAAGCCAACGGAGGAGGAGGAAGAGGAGGAGGAGGAGAAAGCCACAAAAGAGCAGCAGGAGGAGCAAGATGAGGAGTTCATGGATGAGGAAGGGGACGATGATGATGACGAAGATGCAAACATCCTCTTCTCGAGTAGAAATCCTCTGTTGTAAGTATTCAACAGGTGGCAGCCTCTGATTGGTTCATTCACTCAAACACACACACACACACACACACACACACACACACACACACACACTTTAACAGAATGTTTATTTTTACATCTTCAGTATATTATTATTTATTATATTATTTATTATTAATATTTAATATAATAATTTATTTAATATTTAACAAATCTCATTAAAGGAATAGTTTGACATTTTGGGAAATACACATACGCTGATGCCACTGTCATGCTTGTATATATGACGCTACAGTCAGCAGCTGAACTCAGCATAAAGAGTAAACAGCAGCCTGTGTCAGAAGGTAACAAAATCAATATTTTTTCAGATACAGATTAATACACATTTGGTGCCCTAGTGTTTGTAATTGATTCAAAATAAACTACAGTTCATTGTAATGAAGGAAGGTGTCGGCCAGAGAAACAATGTGGCTCATTTATGTCTCTCAATGAAGACTGTGGCATAAGATAAATCAGGCTTTAGCTACACAGACAATACTTGGTTTGGGTCCTTTCTTCAGATTCGTTTACATAAAAGCTTTATTTAACCAGACTTTAAGAACAGACAGAACAGCCACCTCATTATTATTATATATTATTAGAACTGCGCACAGAGGTGAGAAATGAGACATGACGGCTCTTCCTGAGGAATTTTCTCTTTGCCAATTTGTTTCAGGAAAGAGATGTCCAGCCGTATTGACCCTGGCATCAGAATGAAGGAGCTTGGGGGTTTATACATCAATTTTGATGGCAGCAAATCAAAACCTGTCTCCAGTTCGCTGCAAAAACTAAAGGAAAAGAAGATCCAAGATGAGGTAAATAGGCGATTGATTTTTCCCCTTTGAAAGTGATCTGTGATGCAGAATGAATAATGAACTTTATAGTTATGCAAGGACAAGTAAATCCAATAACACCTGAGATGGTGTTATTCATGGTTTCTCTCCAATTCTCTTTGACTTTGGCCTTTTATCTCTGAGTAGTGGGGTGTTGATAAGAGTTTGGTGCTTTGCAGTGTTACATTTTTTGTTTTTGTTGTTGTCCTCAGGTGATGAAAAAGAGTGTGATTGGACCAGACTTTGAAAAGAAGGACGCAGTGCCTCCGTACAGTGAATCCAAACAAGCCTTAAAGTTGAAACACAGAGTAAGTTTCACAAAGTAATGCTTTGGTTTATAGATTCTCTGTGCTATCTACTAAAGTTTTGACACTTCCATCGTGTGTCATTTGTGGAATCAGTTATGGTGACACGTACTGCCCCGAAGACACCCAATTCTGTGCTTCAGTGGTGCCTTTTTAAATAACTGAGAACACTGTTTTACCCAGGTTGAGAGGGAGAAATCAACAGGAGATGCTTGGTTTAATATGAAAGCCCCCGAGATCTCCCAGGAGCTGAAAGGAGACCTTCAAGTCTTGAAGATGAGAGGCTCCATGGATCCCAAGAGGTTCTACAAAAAGAATGACAGAGATGGCTTTCCCAAATATTTCCAGGTCAGTAAAAACATTACTCACCTGCCTCCACCTTTAGTTTTCTTAAGAAATGCAGTCATGAGAATCAAACAGTTCCCCACAAGGTGTTGTAGTTTGGATAAGTAACTGAATTTTGCTGTATCAAGCTCTCAATATGCAATACTCTTAACTATGCTCATACATTATTAACACCACACTGTGTACTGTGTTTGACTGTAACTCTTTGTGTGTCTGTGTCACAGGTTGGTACAGTGGTGGACAGCGCTGTCGACTTCTATCATTCCCGTATTCCCAAAAAGAGCAGGAAGAGAACCATGGTGGAGGAGCTGCTGGCTGATGCAGAGTTCAGGCAGTAAGTTGAAAGGGAAACAAAGAGGGACACAGTCACTGGATGCGGCTTTATTATGTCACATCTCTGGCATGGTTTCAGTGTCCACTCCCACAGACAGCTGAACAACAGCAGCTGTTTTATATTCGCAGGAGTAGTTTATATTTTCATTTTATGCAGGTACATTGATGTGAAGTCTGGTGCACAGGAACACTTTGGTAATAAACCAAAAAAAAAAAAAGATCACGGTCCATCTGGTAGATTCTTTGCGTATCTTTTATTAGTTACTGAAAGCAGTGACCCGTCAGATCTGGTGACACTAGTGGTTCAACTATGAACTACGTTAGTGATGTACAGACAAATATATACTGGGCACCAGTGTCTGCTGTCATATTTCTGGCAAAACAGCTAATTTCTCATCAGTTTACCGAATCAGATGGGCCACAGGATACAATGTAACACCACAGGAGGCTTTGCCAACCCTGCATAATGTTGTTATATAAGAAAAGTAACAAAAAGAAAACATGCTCTAGTTCTGTATTCAAGGTGTGGGCAAGATATTGTCAGGAGGTGTACCTAGTGTCTAGATATATTTCATTACTGGTGTGCTTCATTTTAAAGAGATGATAGAATAAACCTGTATGTAATGGTGTCTGGCACTTTTGCAAGGCTCCTCTAGAGAGGTTTTCCTCTGCTAAGGCAGCTAATTGTATTTGTTATGTGCTGCAGGAAACAATGTACAGCACTACTGAAATAGAATATTTTAAACAACCACATTTGAAGACACATTACAAAATATCTTTGCAGATCCCAAAATCTATGTGCATCAACTTTGGAAAAATAATTGGTTATAAAATTACTTTTCTCTTCTTTTACCAGCAACAATAAAAAGAAGTTCCAGCACATTGTGACGGAGAAAGCAGCACAAGGAGCCGGAAAGAGGAACAACAAGAAGAAGAATAAATTCCATAAGAAATAAATCTGAAGACTTGACATGAGGAGCACTGACTCTGAAAGGCTTTACACAGATAACTATTATCTCCACTTCTTCAACAGAAGGTGGGTTGTTGTTGTTGAAGATTGGAGAATAAATCATATTTTGGGACTTAAACATGACTACATAAAACTTTATTGTTTTACGTGTATACACATGAAGAAGCTGACTGTATTAAAAAAAAAAGATGATACAAGATAGTAAAAGTAGAGTAGAGTTACCAGAAGATGTTTGTACATGCTTATATTTACAACTGAAACAAACATTGATTTTTAATCAAATGGACGTGTATTTTCCAAATGTTTTGCTGCAATGTAATCATAGTCATTCTTTAAATACATGCATCAAATGAACATTAAAACACTTTGTTTTGACTGGCACCGATGTTTGTGAAGGTTCTTCTAAATGATACTATACTCATATTCTGAAAATACATTTATGACCAAAACAAAAACTACTGTTTTTACAGTCTGTTGCATACAGTCAATCAAATGCTGAGTTTACAACACACTAACTACATTTTAAAAAAACTTTTTGGTAATTCTGGAAAAAAAAAAAAAGCACACAACTGAGGGAGAACCAGAATAAAACAAGACTATCAAGTCGTAACAGTGTTTGATCACTACTGCTAATATTAAAATTTAAAGGCAAACTCAATTTATACATAGTTTGCTATATATATATATATATATATAAAAATTGAATTGAATTGAATTATAATACTATAATATTTAAAATGGAATAGATTTTTAAATGGGTTTGTATATGAATTTTCAAATTAACATTGTGCTACCTTAACCTGAAAAAGCAAACTGAGCTTGTGGAAGTTTAAATTATGTTTTCAGAACATTTAAACATTTAAAATTAAATAAATGTATCTCCAGACATATTTTACTGTCAGAAGTAGAGTAGAGCTGTGAAGAGTAGTTTGAATTTATGTGAGAAAAACATTTTACACTGTAACTTGTCATCTTTTTAAGTAAGACGCACAATCTGTCCGGCTGTTGGACATTTCTCCACTGACTCTGAGTAGAGATGGTCAACATGAGTCAAAGAGAGGCGAACTAAAGAGATTTAGTTTAACCATTAATCAGATCCTGCATTAGTTAGTGTATCCACTGCATTGAACAAAAACTACAATATGGGATCATTCACTGTATTACCTATTCCCTCGTGTAAAATAAAATACAGTTTAGTATCTTTGAGAATGAAATGAATCTGTAAGTATAGCTGTGGAAAGAGTGCTTAACACAGCTGCATTTCATTTTATTAGCACTGATAAAAGCTGTAACTCAGCTCCTGTGGTTGAATGAAATTTAAATTACAGAGAGCAGGTAACCTCTCAATGTTTAAGACATTCTAGTATAACACTATGAATCTGCACAACCGTCTTAATTTATGTTAAGGCTACACTTCTTTGTGTCTCCTGCTCTTTCATTCAGGATTACTTTTGTTCCTCCTCTCTCTTAAATCTCTTGTAGCTGCTGGCTCCCAACGGTGGCTCTTGGCTACCTTCTTGTCTCTCTTTTGTGTTGTGAGAGATGAGCCCTTAACAGCTGCAGCTTACATCCACCATGTCTCCTTCCCATAGACACACAAAATGCTACTTCTTTATACCCGAGCCAATTTCACACACAGCTTTAGACAAATTAGACGACATCGCCGCTTGGTTTCACCCAAAAAAAAAATAAAAAAACAGGCCAGCTGATGGGTGGGAGGGAGGCAGTACTGCTATGCACAGCTTCCCAGTAACCCCTGCAAATATCCTGCCTTTTCAAAGAGTAATGACGACAAACGCCGCTTAGCAGGTGCTTGGGATGGTTTGAAATTTAAATGAACATCAAAGGGAGATAAATTAAGATACGTGTGTGTGTGTGTGTGTGTGTGTGTGTGTGTGTGTGAGAGAGAGGATCCGACTCACTGGGTTAATAAACTGTTGGTGTGTACAACCACTCTTACAGATATAAGGCAGGTTAAAGTCAACTTTGAGAATATACATTATTAAAGTGAAGTGTCTTTGTATTGTAACCTCAGTTGTTTGGTCACCTTGTGGAAAGAGTGGCAAGTTAAAGGTCAAAGGTCAATTGGTGGTCCCAGTTGGTTTTGTGTGTCTTCAGAATCCTCTGGACTCGGCTGTGGATCTCCTCCCAGTACGATGGACTGGTCTGCAGCCTGAGGACGACAAACACCAAGAAATGGCACATTAAAAACCCAGAAAGAGTAAAGTGTTTGAGTCAGATATACCCGCATCAAGTTGGGCTGATGTAACCCTTTGTATTGCTAGGAAATAATATGATCATATTAGGGCTGCAACTAAAAAAATATTTTTCATTATTGATTAATGCAGTAGTTCCCAACTTGAGGGTCGGGACCCCCAAAGGGGATCAAATAATAAGTCTCAGGGGTTGCAAGACAATTAATAGGAGGGGAAAGCAAAACATATACTAATGTTTTAAAACTTGCCTTGTGGATAATTTTATTTATTCAGAATTATTCAAATAAGGCAAAGAAAATCTGGTCACGAGAGGCTGTAGTAGACATTTTGTTGGGCACTCAAGACAAAAAGGTTTCGTCTGTCCAAAAACACCAAAAAATGTCCATCACACGTCCCCCAGAGCCTTTGACAGTCAGTGGTCCTGACTGAAAGGCATTTGTCCACTAGTCTGTGCTGTAACATAAGATGAGAGGGTTGAAACTACCAGTACAGTGACACACACTTTATGTGTACTATGTTCACCGACAGAAGGACGGTGTTTCCTCCATCTAAACCTTCATTTTCGGTTCCTCTACATTCAACCCTTTTGTACAAAAAAAACCCAAAGTCATTTCACAATTGACAGAACCAACCAAATTTGAACTGGAAGCAGAAATGTGCTTCATCAACACAATATAAATGTGTCTGCAAGTTAGTGGCCACAGGCAGTTATGAAACAGAGGCACTGACAGACAGACAGAAGTGAACAGTAATAAATTCCAGTATTGCCTCTCATCCAAGTCTATTTGTTGGGAGTGGAGGGGTGATGAGTGTCTGACTGGCTGGTGTCCTGGCCTGGCTCGCAGTGTGGGAATGGAAGCTTTTCATCTGTAATCAGATAAACTCTCTACCTGCTTCAAAAACTCATCAAGGACAAATCACCCAGAGACATGAATAGACTGAGACTTCGGGGCTTAGGGAGCAAACGTCGCCACTGGCATCTGTCATTTTCTTTATAGATCAAAGATTGGTGGTAAGACGTGCCCCTCTCCCTGTCGGAGGGAATCTACAAAGGCCCACTCTAATCTCCCACCCTGCAACTCCTGTCGCGTTTTCAATTGAGAGAAAAGTATCATTCATTTCCTACAATTTACTTTGCAGTTTAAGATTGTCTATTGATTTTAATGTTTACTTATGGACTGAGCAGAAGGGAAGGGGAAAGGAGAGCAGAAACAAACAAACAAACAAACCAAAGGGAACATCGGTCCCGTCGGTGTGTTTAACTCACAGCTGCCATGATCGATGACAAGGTCTCTCTGAATGTATTAAAGCGTGCATCGGGTCAAATGCATCAGACTCGAGCCGAAACACAAATCAATACCATTTTCCTCTTTGTTTTCCCTTCTCTCTGCCTCCTTTCTCAGTAATGAACAAACATGACAAGACATCAGCTTCTGTAATTTAAGAGGTGGAGTGAAATTCATCCTGCCTGTCGAGTGTGATCCAAATTAAAGATGGGATGTGCATGAGCTCGCGCACGTGCACGCACACGCACGCACACAAAGCAGCAGCAGTGTATGACTAACATCTCATGGGGTTGCCATATATTTGCTGTATACTGTAATTGGAAACTCATACAGGTGCCTGTTTTGCTTTTAAGATCTTTTGAGCAAACACCAATGATTTACACAGATGGATCAGGATAAATTCAGGACAAACACCACACAAAAAAAATAGGATTATGTTTTATTCCTGCTTTGGCGGGGGCATGAAAAAAATCGGTTGGTTTTGTGGCCAGAAAAAACAAACTAGGGGCTCTGAGGTGATCCTGTGAGAGTTTTACTGATGTACATCTGAGGATACACTTAACCACAACACAAAGTTATACACATGCATGCTAATTACCACTGAGCCTTCCTTCCTACCATTTGGTCACAATGTAACATCAGCAAGGTTTCATTATCTTGAGATTTTACCTTTCTCTGAGGGAATGTTTGACATTCAGAGGACTTCTGGAGTTTGACACGGTCAGGGTGGACTGAGCTAAGGCAGCACTTCGCACAGAGCTTTTGGTCTGGCCTTCAAGTCTGGACTGTGTCTCTGGAGATGACTGGAGCCTCGGCGAACAGGACTTCACCTGAAAGGAGTCAGAGGGCGACAGGGTTCAAGTTAAGTGACAGGTTTAATAAGTGTATATACTTTATAGTTGGCAGGATGTTTTGTATTTGAGCTTTGCTGAAAAATGTCAGGAAAAGTAAAAAGTACATCAAATCCTAGATGCCAGTAGTGTTGTTTAGCTTTATAGAGCCACTGCATGTTACCAATATTTCATTACTTTTACACAATATTAAGAAACCCTCCAGTAACAGTGGGCAAAGAGTTGTTAGTCTGAATAGAAATGGTACATTTCAAGTTAGAACACTTCTCTAAGTGTTTTAAACACTGCTAGTTGTGTGATTAAATCATTTTGTAAGTCTGGCTTTGAATGTGTACATACAGTGAAAGTGGGCCATGGTTACAAATCCACCAACACAATATCTGAACACTTAACCCCACGCTTGTATTTGCTGGTTTGAAATGTTATAATTAGACTTACTCTGGCTGTTTTTGGTCTGTAGCTCCCCAGGAGAGAAGAATCTACAGAGACAAATACAAGTTTTAAGAGTTTAATGAAAGCAGAAAACTCTGCTTTTGGATTGCATAACATCTACAGTATTTCCTTTAAATAAGAAATAGTTTATTTCTTAAACATAATCAGGAGTAAATTAAACTTACATTAGATATAGAGGCAGCTGCATACAGAGCCATATGCTGTCTGTTAGTGTAGCTTCCGACATTATTACACTGTGACAACTAAAACTGTCAGAAGCCCTTTTATCAGCCATTACTGATATCAGACAAACAAGCTCAAGAACCCAAAAATATAAATGTAGTCCATTATTCATTTTGAAAGACTTCACCACATGTTATCATGAAGACATAAACAAAGAATAGAAAAAAGACATTTTCACAAGACAAGACAGCCAATCTTGATATATTAGGCCAAATGCAAACAGTTATTCATGCATGACGTACTATAGCATAGCCCTAGGTGTGTAACAGTACATGTATTTTTGTATTTGAGTGTGAATGCCAACCTGTTTGATCAGCTGTGAAGCTCACAGACCTTCGATGTATGCTGCGATTCTGTGGAGAGGAAGAAGGAGTTCCCATCCCAGAGACGTTACTGCAACCAGAGACCTGCCATAAACAGTTTGCAGTTTGAATTATTTAAACATATATATATGTATTTAAATACATACACAGTCAGGTAGTGTTGGCCCTCAGCAAGGATTATTTTTCACTTTTAAACAGTGTGCTGATACAGTAATCAATCACACAATTTCAAATAAGAATTGCCACACTGCATAAATGAAATCAACATATTACATTATTCACATTCATTCATCTCTTGTAATTTCTTTAGTTTGTGACAAATAAAGGAAAAAAAACAACTTTTGGTCCGTCATCTTAACCCCAAATCATTTCACCAAGAACGTCACAATAAAGCCCGAAGGAAACAATGACAATATTCTTTACAAAACCACCACCAATCACAAAGAACGCAGGTTGTGTCTTCTGTAGGAAAGTGCTTCTCAACACAAACAAACAGGGAGTTGAAGCTCTGAAACATGCACTGATAATGCATTCACCATGGGGCTAAGCTACTTCATTAGGTATCTATTTGTTAATTGCAGCTTGACTCTCAATTACTAGGGTTAATTGTAGACAGAAGATTCCCCCAGGAAAACCAGAGCAGGAAAAAACATGCTCCTCTCTTTAATAAAACGCCTGTTGTATTCAAGTAAATTCCATTCATGTGTGTGACAAAAACAAACAACTCTGTACCTAATCACTTCTTTTAATAACAGCATGCTAGTGGATTTTGATATTCATACCTCAGGATTGGACTTGATGTAAATGAAGAAGCAGGAATACAGTGGGGAGCAGAGGGAAGGGGAGGGGGACAGAAAATAGAGGCTTGTTGTTCTTGTCCATCAACTGTATATTCCCCAAGGCTTTGTGATCAGAAAAATCACTTCCTTTTATATGCAAATTTCTTATAGCAGTGATACAGCCATAATTAAAGCGTTAACAAATAACTGTGTACCAGCCTAAATCCAGAACGTGTGTTATTAAAGCACACTCAAGGCCCTCAGTGAGGATAATAGGCCACATTACATGCGCACATAGTGAAACATTTTCATGACGTCAAAATCCATTAACGGCTCAGGTAAAAAGATTAACACTGCTCTGTTATTATGCCCACCACTTAATCTGCCCACTAGATTATGTTACATTTTGGGAAGCTCCCGCTGAGGTTTGAACTACATCAATTCAGGATTCCATTAATATTATAACCCCTGTCCACTGAACACGTGTATTATTGGCATTAAACAAACCATCATATCACTTTTTTTTGCCAACTGCCTTCAGTTTGGAGGAACATACGTTACCGACCAAAAAGGGAGGCTGGCTCTCACTCTCCTTCCTGAAGTGGTGAGGCCCCAACTGGAGATGGCGGAGCCTCTGCCGGGCGTCCTCTGAAAGCTGGCACATCTTGCGATGGGTGTAAGGGGACATGGCTCGTGTCACTGAGGAAACTGTGGGCTGCTGGTAGCTGGAGTTTACAGAAACTCTGGGAGAAGTGTGTTTACTGCGGCCAGATGGGGATGGAGAAGGGGAGCGTCTGGATGTTGAGGACGGAGCAGAGTTTCTAATTCTAGCAACATTTAGCTTTTCCTTCCCACCTTTCAGAGAGACACAGTTTGCATCATGTGTTTTGGAAAAGTGCTTGCTGGATGGTGAAGACGTGTTTGCCAAACTCTGTCTGGAGGTTGTTAAAGATGGCTTCACTGGAGAAAGATGGCAAGTCTGGGGGTGCAGGGACAGAATTTGAGTGAGAGAGAGAGAGAGAGAGAGAGAAAAATGTTGAAGTTGTTCAAACATGTCAAGCTACCCTCACAGGTCTCCATTTTGAGGGGACGCATAACATTTGTCTCAGCAGTTTAGATTTCTCTGCAGACCACAATGTTGTTCCTTTACACAAGCGTCAGCCATTTTAGCCATTAAGGCAGCTGCTCTCACTCTCGACACAGACTTGCTCTCTCTGGACAAAACCATTAAACCATTAGCTAAATCATTCAGCTTAAGTGTTACAACAACAACGGCTCTCGCAGTCAGCACTGCCATGGAGACAACCTCTGCAGAATTACTTCAATAACTCTAATGGCCACTAACATCATTCTCCGATGCAATATCCCACTTCCTGCGGGTAATGCCAACCGGGGATAAATACGTTAAGATAAAATGTTAATTGCATTTGATGGCCATCTCCCGTCTAATATGATAAAGAGGCATTACCTGGCTGTAAAACAAAGATAATCTAAATGCTAATAAGGGAAATCACACAACATGAAAACTATTTTTAAGAGAAACTAAATGATGAATAAATCCTCATCGAGGTTGCCATTTGAGATTGGTCTGATTTAATGGAATTAAACAAAGTATGCTCTCCCCCCACACGTTTACCACCATCTCTGACTTCTTCCAGCTCTGTTCTTTGCTGGACGACCACCGACAGTCAGTCAGTTTTCCGGTCACCAGCTGAGTGGTGAAGGCTCATCTGATGTGATTAGTTGCTATTTGCACTGTTGGTATTGTGTGTTAAAGAGACTGCTCAACAAAGCTTAGTACGTGCACAGCAGTGCTTTAGGATACATGCTAACTTCAGCATACTTACCAAATCCAGGATGCTAGCATGCTCACAGAGACACATAACATTTACTCATTAGCACTAAACACACAGTATACCCAATGCTGATGGGAATATGATTAGTTTTGCAAGTAAAAGTATCTGACAAAAAACTTTTTTTGACCACAAGACGGTGCTAGATGAGTTAAAGTGACTATACTTCTTTCTGAAGGGGACATTAATGTAAGAAATTTAATGGTAATCCATCTAAAAGTTGTTTACATTTCATTAAAAGAAATACATCAACCAATTCAGTAAGGTTTATAAGATCACCAAAGTAATTAGTACTCATCCTCTGGGGATCCTGAATGTTTGCTTTCATGGCAATTTATCAAACAATTCTCGCAAGCATTATTTCTTTTGGATAAAATACGGTACTTACTTGAGAATGACAACAATTAACAAAAGAGCACCAGAAAATCTACAAAGCAAGAGTCAGACATTGGTCAAAAATGACTATATATTTATCACTACAGTTTAAAAGGTTTTGTGTTAGTTGCTATCACTCTAAATCTCTATTAAAAGGAGGACATGTTTTGTCAGCTGGGTGGGCAGGCAGTCAGGGAAATGCCTATGCTGAGGAGCCATTAGGAGAGAGAAAATGGAGAAATTCTACTGTCTGACAGCCACAGCGGTGCTCTGATCCAGACATCCCCCCGAGGGGCCAGGAGAACACTCTGACAATCTGCTTCGCTGTCAATGACATCCCATTTAAACAAATAGCTTAGCTTAGGTTACTGCACCTGGGAAATGCACGGTAGTGTGTTTGGCACAACATGCCAACCGCTGTGTGATGGATCATATGTTACAAACATGACTGTTTGTGAAAGATTTTCATTCTCAGTGGAACTTTTTTAAGAAACTCCTTTTCAGTCTAGAATCGGAGCATTATTTTACTCTCCAGTATCCTTCACATTCGCCTCACACACACATTCATACAAGACCATGAAGGAGGAGATTCAACTTTAATAGGGCTGCAACTAAGGATTATTATCATTATCAATTAATCTACCAGTTACTTTTTTGATTCATTTGAAAAAGAACAAAAAACAAGCGAACCACCACCACCACCACAATTTAAAGCCCAAGGTGATGTCACCAAACGGCTTTTTCAAAAACTTAAAACAATAAAAATAAAAACAGCAAAACCTCACAACTGAGAAGCTAGAACAAGAGAATGTTTTGCTACTAAAAGGAAAAACAATCATTCATTTGTCAAAATAGTTGGTTGTTTTTTTTCTCCTCGATTGACTCATTGATTAGTCAAAGGACTGTTTCAGCTCTATACGGAAAACTGCAACAGTGGATGGGAACATGTCAAAAACAAAACTTTGCCCATACAAGAAAGATAGTAAGCGGAGTAAGAAAGATGTGTATTATGCAGCTGAGCAAAGTTACCCTTTAAAATCCACAAGGAGACAGTAACAACCAGAGATACAAGTGACCCTCATCTTGAATAGTTAATGTAAAAAAAAAAAAAAAAAAAAAAGATGAACTGACTGGTGTGTGCTGTGACAAAAACTGTGCAAACTCCCAGTTAGTTGGAGATGTGAGAGAAGCCTCGCTATCAGCATCACAGATCTACTTCCCTGTAATTACATTCACAAGGAGAGAACAGATACCCTTGAAACACTGCCAGTATGGATAGATAGATGCAGTAGCCATGGCAACAATAGAAGGTTGGTATATATGGTGGAAACAGACAAATCTGATGGCGAGCTTGATACCACTCATTAGAGCCCTCTAGAGATGAACCGTTCACTGTTCTAGCTTTGGTCAACACTCACGCAGTAACACTGAGTTTGTAGCTGTGATGTGTTCAAATTCCAGACATTGGCTGATAAATACACTGTTTACTTGACTTATGAGTGGCAATTTGATGGATCTGATCAGTTAAAAAGCTGTTCTGAAAGACCATGAACACACAACATACGTAAGTATAAAGAACAGGTTGCTTCTAAAGTGCTTTATAGATCAACAACAGCTATAAAGCAGATAAACCAAAAGCAGACAAATGTACAAATAAATGTGAAAAACTGTACATAGAGTTTGTGTGGTTATGTACAGACCTTTGAGATGTAGTAAAAGGAAACACTTACAGGTGAGGCCGGCCAGCTGTCTCTCCCATCACTCTCTTCTATGACTGATGTCGTGCCAAACTCGACTTTGGGGGAGATTCCCTAGAGGGACAGGGACAATAGGAACAAACACAACACCTTTAACAGGGAGATGAAGACAAAAGGACAGATAACAGCACTGCTTGGAACACCAATTTACAACCACAAATCTTCAATCTACGCCTGGCTTGAGAAAAACAAATTGCAGGAAAGAAAAAGGCTCCAGTGATGTTTAAATAATATGGCATTTGGAGAGAGACATCTAAATTGCTATGTAGGCCTCAAACACAAACACATAAAAGCAACGGTGAGGGGGGAATGGTGTTTAAAGACATTTCAATATGCCAGTTAGTGCCTCAGAGGACATAGGGAGGATAGAAAAGCAACCCACAGCCACTGAGAGATGAAGGAATGGAGGGAGGCGGAGGTAGAGAGAGAAAGTGATGATATAAGAGGAGGAGGAGGAAAAAGAAAACATGACCAAAAGAGAGGAAGTTCTCCGTTTAGTTTTTCTGTCAAAGACAGTCGACAGCTCTATAAGGAAAAATGCTATCTTTTCTGAAGAAATTACTTCACTTTGTCGAAGACAAGACGGTGCTTTTGAATTGGTTATCTTGGTAGTGTACCTGCCTGTCATGTGCACAGACACATGAGCCACAGAGATTAGGAAGAGACTCACTCAGAGAAGGCAACAATCTTCTCCAGTCTATGAATGACACGTGTAATATTGGTGCCAATCAAGCTGGAACACATGGTGAGCACAATGTGGGGTCGCTGTGACACATTTTAACTCGTCAACTTCCAACATCCTCCCTTTAACAGATTCCACAGTGTTCAGTAGCTCAGGTACTTTTGCGAGGAAGAAATATGTGTGACACCCGGGCGCACATCTATGAAACTTGCAAATACTCCAGAACTCCAGAGTAGAGTCCTCTATATTAGGGATGCACCGATATCAGTATCGGGTCCAATACTGTGCTAATGTACTCATAATTGTAATCATAAAACAGCGTGATGTTACGTAACTTCTCGTAGCTGACCAGGTAGGCGGAGGAGGAGCAATGTCAGCAGTTTGTAATCATTTTAAGCAACTTTTACAACAACATAAGAAACATTTATTAGAGTCAGAATGTGAGGAACATGTAAAGATAATTAAAGATAATAAATAATATTGTAATGGTACTCGTAACAGTACTCATCAAGTACCCAAATGTACTTACCAAATGTACTTCTACTCGGTATGTAGGGTAAATGTAAATCCATATCTCTTTTCTTCTCTGAGCAGACATGTGATCAACCAGGTGATCACTTAAGAGCTGCTTTTAAAAGTTACTTTTACACTATGCTGTAAGTAGGAGTAAGTCACTCGATAAATGTGTTATTGCGCACACTCAGCAAATAACTTTATTCCTAAGTTGGCTCTAGAGCATTTTTGAGTGTAATTCATAGAAGTTTGGTAAATGCGGGCACATCTGTTAGAAGGATGATTAAGAAATAAATAAAAGGAATACATGGAAAACAACCTACAGGAAAGGAGGAGGCTCTCTTCAGCAGTATCTCTCTCTCCGCAGCTCCTTCTCTGGAGCTCAGTCTGGGACCAGGGTACAGGAAATCTCTGCTGCTTTCCTCCATCGTGGCTAGGATCTCACCCTCTACAAACCATACATAGACGGGCAGTAAACAGGAACGCACACGTACACACAATCCAAGTTAGAGATCCTGTTTTTGCAGCGTAATGACTAGATACAGTTGGGAATTAACATGCCCATATGGCATCATCAGAAAGCATACCTGGAGGCACCAACTGAATCAGCTCAAAAGATGTTGTGTCAGCTAAGAGGAAGGAAAGCACAAATAGACTGTGAGCTAATGATCAGTATCACAGCTAATAGCCTATAAGCTTGCATAGCAGAGGATTCAGGACTAAAAGATGAGGAAGCAAATCCCAGACGGCCGCTTACCTTCGAGGAGGTCAGCTACATCAGCAGGGTCAACAACGCCGGGGAAAGTCTGGTAAAACAGACAGAGTACAGACAAAGCAAATCAATACTTATAACAAGATGAGACAGACAGCCCGGTATCTAACTACCCCCAGAGAAAAGAAGGGCTCTTTTATCAGCAAACGGAGGCTGTAAAGTTCATATCCAAATTTGTATCTTCAGACTTAAAATCATAAGCCTGCAGTGTATAGAGTGTGCGAGAAGAGGACGCATAAGAATTTAAATAGCAAACCACTGCTAGGATGGCGATTTCATGAGCATTAGTCTTTTACAGATAAAAGGACAATGAATGTGACATGAAGACATGTCATATGCATCCTTTTTTGATATTAAAATATGCCAGTAGTCCTCCCACCATCTCTCGAAAAAATGTACAACAAACAATTACAGCAGACAGATGTATGGCAATTCTACATATTGTGCTTAAGTAATGGAGGCAGCTCTTATTCCTGTGATACACAGTTGCTATTCTCACCTTGACAAATACCATTTTGTGGTGGAAGAGTAAAGGGAACACAGGCGGCACACAGGGAGTCTTCCTGTACTGCCCCATGATACACACACTGAGGTAGATCTTGTTCTTTTTATACAGGAGAACTCCTGGACATGTGACCTGCACACAAACAGAGCAACATTAACCTCTTTATTGGCAGATTTCTTGCCATCTTATGACAAAAAACATATTAATAATAAGCTATATTGTACAATTATATTTTGGTTTAAACCTGAAAACCTAATTAAGATCAATTACTTTGATATGACAAGTGGAAATGAGCCTCAATCAGCTGACAGACGCCACATTGACATATGGTTAGTGGGGAAAACACAGGCGTTACCAATGATACTCACTGAGGCCCCGTTCCATTTAGGTCAAACAGGGTCAGGGTTGGTGGCTCACTGGAAAAACTAAATGGAACTGAGCCTTAACTACCTGTAGTATCATCCCTAACACCTGTTTACCCTACTATTTCATGTAAAAATGGCAACTGTGAAAAATCTTTGCTCAATATTTACATATATCATTATGTTCAATCTTTATTAGTTAATGACTGGAGTCAGAAAGCTAAAAAGCAATTATCTGATGTGTCTGTGCAAAGAACACAAACCATAAGCTACAACAAACAATTAAAACAATACAACAGTTAAATATGTTTATAATTACATAATATCAGCCATGTGTAAAGCCAGGAAAACCTTTTATTTGCAGTTAAAGCATGTTCGATTATATTAATTCAGAAAAAAGGCACTTCTAGTAAGCTCAGTAGGTGAATTAGCTCTATTTACAACATTTATCAGGATAACCTAACCCGACTGACGTTAGCGCTGAGCTAAGTGCGGAAGGGAACAGGATGTAAACTCGCTAGCTAACGTTAACATCATCTAAAAGCTAAAAGCTACAGTACCCGGGTTGTCTCTCAGTGTGGTAACAAAGGAGCGCACTTACTGTCTGAATGTCCAAGTATACGGTACATTTCAGAGACTTTTGGTGCACTTTAGAGGAGGAAAGCGTCTTCTTCTGTGAGGCCATTCATCCAACTTTCGTTGTCATGGCTGCCAAACAGCAACAGTCACAGAGCGGATGTGCAGTCATGTGACCAAGAAGTGGCAAATCAAAAGCTCTCTCTCACAAACACACAGGGGATTTGAGCTCATACAAAAATATGAAAGAACCAGAGCCCCTTGAATCTGCAGTTAAGTAATAAATAAACAGTGCATGCATAAATAGAGCTAAAGCCTACATGGCCATAGAGATGTAAACAATTCACAAACAGTAAGAGACTATAAAGGTGTTCTTTATATAGGATACTCTCATTTGTTTAAAAGCAATCATTAATGTTCTGTGTCTTGCAATAAGAGTGCAAAGAGGCATTATTGAGTGATTAAGTGTTTAATAGCTAATTATAATACCAACAGTGGTAATAACACCATCCAAAAAAAGTCATTAAACAAGTCGGTAACAGATGGGAAGCATGCATTTATTCAATATATGAACAACATAAAAAAAAAAGGAGCTGCTCAATGAAGGCCTCAGATGGAATTTAGGTGCGTAACCAGTCTGTCTTCCCTTGGCATTCAGTAGTTCACATTTTATAGTTTAGAATCAAATAACCCAGGAGGGAACTTGTTCTGATTTTAGTCCTGCAAGTACCAGTCATCCCACTGTTACAAATCTGTGAAAATAAGTCTTTATAGCCAGGGAGATGTGGAGCTTCTAAAGGCAATGAAGTGTGAAGGATCCTCCTGCTACGGTGCTCCGCATTTTATACATGCTCAGTCTGCGTCCGTCTGTCTAGTGCCTGACACCCTGGCTCTTCTCCCTCTCTCTGTCTGCTGTGTCTCTGCCAACACCATTGCCCTTTCCATTACTGTCGCCTGTGTGGGATTTCAACTCAGAACTGCAGACAAAAACATATTAATATGAATGACTAAGATGGTACGATACAGTTCAGGAAATAGCAAAACAAAAGTAGGTTCAATTGAGTATGAACAACATGAAAATAATATTTGGACAACTGATTCAATTTCACATTCATTTATTCATAATGCCATACTGCTTTACCTTTGAATATGAATTGGTCTGTTGTCCTTGATGAGGTTGTTGAGTTTGTAGTAATCCAGGAAGGTTCGAGCCACATTCCTGCCCAGCTTCATGTCTGAGGACGGGGAGTTAAAGCTCATGTCTTGGATGGGCCTCAGGTAACATTGCTCAAAACATTTCCTACATCAGTGGTTCCCAAACCGGATGGTGGCCCTTTAGGGGAGGCACAGAGCAACTGCTCTGCATGGTGGAGTGAAAGTTAAAGCTGCACAGAGAATGATCACCTGATTCTGCAGTGTCTCTGTATTCAACCACGGACAGTACATAACTACACAGAAGTGTATTAAACCTGCATTCTTACTTTTGGCCAGCAGGGGCCGGCTCCATGGGCTGCAAAGTAGAGTTTTATGACCCGACTTCTCACTTGATTTATTATCTTAGTAACAGTTCCCTAATAAGTTTATGGTCTCAATCTCTAGTTTCAGTCTTCTTCCAAACAGCATGATGTTCATTTAGTAAAATATGGTCCAATTTAGAGTAAAATAGATGATAAAGCAGCGTATGCTTTAGGGCGTGGCTACCTTGTGATTGACAATTCGTCCAGAGCACCTCATGAAACTCAGATCAAACTGTCAAACTAGGCAGCGCTGATCAAATATGAATCTGAATGTCATTGCATAGCTCATTGTTCATCTAATATCTTCTTAGAAACATACAGTATTTTAGTGCTGTTTATCTGTAAAATCGAAAAAATGTGTGACCAGGCGAGCACCATTATTTCCTGCAACAAATGAGCAACTCAATTCGCAGTACGTCACTGCTGCTGGCTCCAATAAAACAACATGGCGATGACCATAACACCAAACTCAAGGCTTCAAAACAGTACTCCACAAACCAACAGGTGACATCATGGTAGGTTTACAGCTTGCTATGACAAATCATGAATGTGATTCATTTGGGATCCCTGACCCTTGAAAGCCGTAAAATGTTTTTGTTCATGAGAGATTTTGTTCAATGCCCACAGTCCTGGATAACGCTAGAAACTCAGAGTAAACTAAAGTTTCCAACAGTCTAGAAGGAGGGTGATAAATTAATGAAGATGTGAGACATTCATAATAATATCTGTGATGTATATTTGCGTGACACATTCAAACCACTAAATCTCCACCTAGGTTTTGGACATGTTTAACATAAAGTAATATTTTCTAAAAGCCTTTCAAAAATCCCCTCTGTCATGACCAACACACCCAGCGAGGTATAGTAAATAAACTGAGGACTAGCGACGGGAGAAATGAGCAGCGTAAATTCTCAAGGTACAACGCACTGCGTTCTGAATTAAGTGGAGCTAAATCAACTGCATTTCATTCACGTCAGCCAAATGCATGATGCTGGTATGAATCACACAAAAGCAATTACTTATACACTGAGGCCTTATTTAAATTCAGAGGTAAGTGCACACATCATCCCCCTGCCCAATTGTCCCTCCCTACATTAGAGCCAATATCAATAACTTCACTGCTTTTATAAAACAGCTGAGCGTCTATGAGTGCTGTTGCCAAGCTTGTGATCATTAGGCCAGTAGAGCAAGTAATGATGACAATCAGGTTCAGGGTAATGAAGAAGTAGAGAACAGAGAAGCACAGAATACCAGCAATGTTTCCAATCACCAAGACTGAGGATTTAGTAAATACAGATAAATAAGAACAGTGTCTCTAACAGAACTAAATTTCATCTGGTCACTGAGGCGAGGGGACTGGAAAAACACAATTGATCAATATCAGCTTCCAATCTATACAGGACGTACATACATACTGTTCATATAGATCCCAACAAAAACATAAAGGTCTACGTCGAGGCATTGATGTTCAGCTGCCTTCATCCTTCACCAGGCTGGAACATGATGGAGCAACACAGAGACATAATCTATCACCTTCCCATGTCATTACCTTGTTGATACTCAGATACGGCCTGTCATCCACTGGACTATCTATCTGTCACAGCTGTGTGATTGAAACAACTGGCATACAGACAAAGATTTTAAAAAAAGATGGAGATTCTGTCATTTTTATTTTTATTTTCTAGTTTCTCGTAATGATCAAAAAATGACCTGAGCTACATAAATCCTGGTTGCTATAAAGGTGAACATCTATTGTCCAAAAGCTGTTAACTTGTAAACCATCCATCCTTGGTTTGAATGCGCTGTCTGGGCGTACACTTCAGGCTTTGTACTTCGTAATTTGTCAAGCAACACACACGCACACAAACGCACAGACACACAAACAAATAGACAAGCATAAAGGTACACAAGTTAGGCCTGCAAATATGTAAGCAAGCCCCTCTGTAGCAGGTCTGTCACCTTGGCCTTTGAGGGTGTGTTCTTGCAAATGTTCGGGAGTCTGCACAGGACTTCATTCTTCACTCCACAGGCTGATGGCAACGCTCTCCACACGACTCCGGAGTCTATGTTTACACCCCATCTGGCTGTTTGTCTGTGAGTCCTGCATCAGGCCAAACTTGCTGTGTGTGTGTGTGTGTGTGTGTGTGGATGGACCTCACAGTCTGTCTCATTACTGCTAGCTGATGATACTGATTAAGTTAAGATAAAACTAGAGATGAACAAACTAAGGTTACGTCCTTCCGAATCTTGCTTTTATGCTAATTTGAAAGTGTTACAGTTCTAAGTGAGACTGAGAGTCTACAGCCATACTAGCAGCACAGCTGTGCTTCTACGTCAGGATGTTATCTCACAAAAACAATGCAAACATGCTGATATTTGGCAGGTATAATATTTTTCATGCTCAACATCTTAGTTTAGCGTGTTACCATGCAATACAGTTAAAGTACTGCTGAGGAATGTTTTTAGTTTTTTGCAAGTATGAAGCCACGTTAGACAAATTAAAATTTTAATCTGATTAGATAGAAAGTTAAGTGATTACCAAATTACAGTTATTTCTTACGTGGACATGAATGTGTATATCAAATGTCATGGCAATAACAAAAAGAGCCATTTTGGCCCCAAAAAAATCTGTCTGGGGCTGCAAAACATATTTCAGGCTTAGAATACTACTTTCTCGGCAGATCAAACATAAGTAAGTCAGCAGCCTTGGTGGTGAAAGCAACAAATCTGTCCATGCACTATTAAATTCTCTATTTTCCTTCGAGTTTTATCTTTTTGGGATTTGGAATCCAGAACTAGCCTAGCTAGGGAGACACAACACTATTAGAGGAAAAGGCGCCAGATCAGGACGTAACATATGACGCACATTTTGACGAAATGATCAAACTGTTTTTTTGTTCAGTGTGTAATTGGCTACACATGTTTATCCTCCTCTGGGAAGCATGAATGTCTGCACATGGCTAAAAATAACTAGTATGATTTGAATGTAGGTAATTATTAATGTACTAGTTGTTGTTGTTATGAGGTGATATACTGATACACAGTCACAAGGACACACACTCTGTATACTGTATATATAAACAAACACACTGCCCTTGCATCCTTGACATCTTCATTCTGACCTCAGTAAAGTTTTTGGTGTTTTCCTCCGTTCTCTTTCATCAGCCGAGCTCGGTGCCAGTCCTGAGCTCTTTGGCCAGGCACGCTCAGCGACAAAAATATCTCCCGGACCCCACCGTGCGCAGATGGCCTCTCAGCTTGGCTTGTCACGACTCACCGTCTATTACAGGAGGTTTTGTGATGGACGGTCAGCTTCTGAAGGAGAACTTCATCCACAGGGCGAATGGTCGGAGGCACAGAGGATGCCCTGACTGCTGTCTGGCCTGTTGCCGGGGGAAACCGTAGGGCCTGGAACAAGGCTGCTGCTGCTGCAGCAGGAAGTGATGCGTGCAAGAGCCAGGGAACAGTCGGTGGGCTGTAGCTTGGAAGACAGAGGTGGGTGGCAGTGGAAAAACTTAAGCTGCTTTAGTCTATATCTAGGCAGCCTCCTCTGAATCAACACATACGTTAATACTGACAATATTATTAATACTGTATCATCAACTTAACTGAATCACAAAGCATTACCATAATTGTTGTATAATTATCATTCAGCTCTAGAGAGGTCAGAGAGCTGTATGTATCAGCTTCACACGAAACCTCAGTGAATGCAGCCTGTCAGCAGCTTGCCTGCCTGTCACTGAGGTGTGTGAGGTGTATTCTTTAACATCTCGGTACACTTAACAGTCTTGTCTAATCAATAGCAGGTCATTGTAATGGCTCAAGGGCACGCCAGCTTAAGTGCTG